GAATTATTGCATATAAAAAATAAGTTACTCTGTACACAAGTTGGCATATGCTAAAACAATTATTCGCCAAAAATTCACCGATATTCTCTTCGCCTTCGGCAAATAATTGTTAATTATTGTTGATATTGTCTACCCACTTTCTTCCAATGCTGGAGGAGAACGTTTTTATCTAACAATTTAATTGAATTTTTTTCCAAAACCATCGGTGAATTAGTGTTGGGTCAGATAACAACTGTGTAATTATCGAAGAAAGAGGTAAACACATTACGATCCTCCGTTTCAGCTGAATCTAATATTGATATATTGATGGAGACTTTTGCAAATGCATTGCTATTGTAGTACGTCACGAGGAAATCCTCCACAACATTGAAAAAGCCAGAGTTCGTTGGTCTGACAAACCTGAAAGAACAGTTCATGCGGTTCACCAAGACCCAGGTGCAGAATGACAGAAGGCGCATGCTGGGCCACAACGTTGTAGAAAACACGCCCTTACATTTGGTATTTGCTGAAACTCCAGGTACAGGCAAAACCACTTTCGCAAGACGTGCTGCATCGAGAAATATCCCGCAAAAGAACAGGCTAATACAGGGGGATCCAGAAATTTGCAAGGGGGATGTCCAAAATGACGTCAACAATATTGCTAATTTCATTGACTTATTTTGTGCCTACATTTTTGGGGGTGTCCGGTGCGCCTAGGAACAGCCCCTGGATCCCCCCTCAAATATTTCTTTACTAGATTAACTATGCATCTTGGTTTTACCTACTTAAAAAGAAAAAGAAAAAAAAAAAGAGAAAGAAACAAAGAAAGAAACAAAGAAAAAACGAACGAACGACGAACAAATAAGCAGATAACACAATCCTGCTCTACTTTCTTTTCTTCAGAGTTGCTGTATAGCATTAAGAAAATCAAGAAGAAAAAAGTGGTCGAGGTCCAAAGGTCAGATCTAGTGGGCCAGTACCTGGGATCCACTACAAAAAAAAAACTAAAGACAAGATAGACGAAGCACGTGGTGGCATCCTTTTCGTGGACGAGGCATACAGCCTCATACCAACAGCAGGGGGGAAGGATTTTGGGACGGAAGCCATCGAGGAGTTGATGTCAGTAATGGAAAACGGTGACCCAATCATGATTTTTGCTGGCTACGAAAAGATGATGACCCAATTCCTTAAAGTAAATATGGGATTRCAATCTCGTATTTACCGTAAAATTGTTTTCCCTGATTACACGATAGAAGAGGTTGGAAAGATTTTCAGGCAACGTGTGAAAGAAAGGGGGTATAATCTTGCCTCAAATATTAACGTGKCCAAAATAATACAAGAAAAAACCACAGAGCAGCAGAGGTCAATGATGAATGCCCGCCTCATGCGTCTTCTTCTGCAAAAAACCATCGAGGAGGCTAGGAACAGAGTTCCTCTTCAAGCTTCTCTGCGAGAGCTCCTCGAACTCCAAGAGAGTGATGTTGTAGCAGCAGCCAGTCATCTGCCGAGATATGCTGATGACATTGAAGAAGTACAAAGAGAAGATACGCAGATTTAGTGTCCTCGTCCGCGTATTTAGATGTATTAGAAACAATTTTTATACATGATAACATATAAAAATTTAACTTGATGGCGTCATTCCTATTTATGTTGTCATTGTTATTACTACTTTTAATGTTGTTGTTGTTATCGCTTCTTAAGCACTGCAAATCGTTTACCTACAATTAAGATTTAATTTTCGTGACTGAAAAGTACGAGATGAAACGAACATAAAGTTCRTAATCTCGTATAATCATTTTCATTTCCAATCATTTAATACAGATCATCTTCTATTTTTCGAAAATAGACTGTGTATATATTCTTTCCATAAAAATAATCATGCATGATATTGCGACACATAAACGGCTAATGAAATAAGAATAAAGCCATTCACTCCCAAATGGTATACTGGCGTTAAATTGAAAATAGTATACCACAGCGTGCAGATTAAAGCCAACATTAATATATGCCGCGAAAGTCATTTCTTCGCAACATTTGCGTTTTACAAGAACAATTGGCCATGTCTATCAAGCGACAAACAGTGTAT